AGATATTTTATATGCCACTTTAAAAGACTTTAATCCCTGATGTGAAATTATCTTAATCTGAACTATAGATATGTATTACTGCAAAGGTAAAATCAAAAAACAATTATGAAAGTTTTATTTAAAAAAGGATTTATGGTACAATAATAGACATTGAAAATAAATATTGAAAGAGTATACCACTCAACTGCCTATGTTATAGGGTAATAATATCATTAAGCTTCTCTTCTGGAGGGTTAACAACTTAAGTTTGCAGACTAAAAATTAAAGAAAAAGAAGGGCTACAAGGACAGCCAACATTTGGCCCTAGCCTTTCAAGGTCAGTACAGACTCAGGAAATAGAACCTGTACTGTAACATCCTGTAATTTAATTGTGTCCCAAATTTTCTGATCAAGAAGATTTTGGGGCCACAGAGGAAAGTGATCGATGATGTAGAGTGTGCCTAAGGAGAGTCACATGGACAGAAAACATTCTCTCAGGCTTTCTACAGACAGCAAACTGGTCAAGCAATGGCTGTGACTCATCCATCCACATGGCTGACACTGACAAAGGATCTAAAAAATGAGGTACAGGGTTTCAGGTTAAATCCTGAGAGATACAAAAGTTACATTTCTTGTTATATAGGTCTTGCTCTTTCTTGGTCTTAATCATCCAGCAGAAAAGTATAAAAATGAAGTATAAAAAGTAAAGCCATATTAATATGTTGAGCTGTAAAATGCTCATGTCAACAACTTCGGACATTGACAGTCTTGTGGAAAACCCACTATTATGGACTATTGGGATATTTTGCTGAATTCACGTACCTATAGTATTTAAATGACAATGGAATGCCCTTCTCTGGCAAAGCTAACCAAAAAGGGGGGATATAAATGAATGACTGTTTTCTATCAGTATACTTAAAACAGTCAGGATAGATATACAGTTCCATTGCCTTAATTCAATGAATAGAGAGGTTTGTTCTAATAGTATTTGAGACAGGGTATCAGGTACAATGAATAACCACTAAGACAACAATATGCAATGCATTAATTACTGAAAATGTGCTAGTAATCGGTTGTGAAACTATCTCATTGCTA